TGCTCCAGGGTGAAAAGTCCCCTAGGGCCTCCGGAGAATCAGAGCCAATCCACAAGGAGCTTTTGCAATGGAGGGCACCCAGTTCTGTTGCTGTGGCAGAAACTGTCTGTCCGGACAGATTGTAATCAGCAGCTGAATGTGCTCCTCCCCCCTGCAGCCAGCACTGGCGAGGGGAATGTGAAAGTGAAAGAGCAGAGAGAGGCCGGAGAAATGGAATGATAACAGGATGTTCCTGGCAGGAAGGGGAAGTCTCGTGTGTCTAGACACGCCTCTGTAGGATTGGTCCCCAATCCCCATCAGCAGCAGTAAACCCCTAGTTTGATCTAGCCGGGATCATTCTAGTGTCTCAGAATGATACAATGCAGAAGCAAATGTTGGTGTCTCTGCTTCTGTCCCACAGAGGCAGGATTCCTCCCCCCCCCTATTTCTCGAATTGACTCAAACTGCCCCATGGTCACTTTTTAGCTAATTGTCCAGAAGGAAAATACTTTAAATTCTGTTATGTTCTTTGTGTTTTGTTTCTGATTAATAGTGGGAAGAAGCTGTTACACAGAGAGATTAAACTGAAACACAATTCCCCCCATGTGGTGCTCAAAACCAGCACCCTTAAGGTGCCTATTCTACCAACTGAGCTAGCCACACTGCTGCTTACCAGCCTATCAGCCAAAAGATGACATCTGACAATGGTTTGGGAGCACCACTTTCCGTCTTGCCACATCTCCCAAGATCACTGATTTTTGCATGTCAGACACTTTAGCAAACACAGGTCCAGGGCCGGGTTACTCCCAGACTCTGCTGTGACGAGGTCTTTGCTGGTTTGTGCTGTGAGATTTATCTTTGGGGCAATGTGTGTGTGACTAAAACTGTACTAAAGAGGGCAAAACTCTGGCCAGTTTCCCCGGTGTGGGGGATGTTACCAGCGACAGGCTGGAGTGTAGAGACTGGGACATAGTTTCTGAAACAGGGATGTTTATGTCTCTTGATGCTGTTATTTAGAGGAAACAGTGATTTTTTAGAAACAAAATTAAAAAAAATCACTGAACCTTCTTTGATCAGCCATAAAAATTTACTGTCACTTTATTTTTGCCTCAGTAAGGAAGAAAACCCTGACCTTTTGGCCGGTTATGTTCTCCCAACTGAAGTAGCAGAGTGAGCTGGAATAGCCGGCAGCTTCAGCTCAGGTTGCAGGGCTGTCAGCAGAGTGGGGTGTGTGGAAAAGCCCAACATCTGAATGTGTCTGACCCTCCCTGAGATTCACTAACTTGAGACCCGGGGGAGGTGGCCCTAGCTCTGGGCTAAAGCTCAACAGAGCAATGTTTATGTAGAGGGACATTTAGGTCTATTTCATAAAATGCTGAGTCACCGCTAGGCATGAGCACAAAGCACTGTCTTGAAGGAAGAAGGGAACATTCCCACATGAATGGAAGGCCAGCTCCTGTGCAGCAGAGAGGTGTGGGACATTTGTGCCCTGATCTCAGGATGTAAAGAAACAATCAGCCCCCAATGACAGGAATCAAAACAAGCATTTTCAGAAGAGGGCAGGGATTGGAACCCAGCAGCTTCTTACAGACAAAACAGGCACTCTGCCACTGAGCTATATCCCCACATTGCTTGAAGTGCTCAGATCTTTAAAACAAGAGCGAAGCAGACACCTGTTCACCCTGTGTCAAGCTGGGATTGAAATCACTCCTCCATCAGTAGATGATACATACAGTCTGCCATAGCATCATGCACCCATTCATCGCATCAGCCCTTTTACTAGCAGTGCTGGGCCAGGCACGATGCCCCCTGAAATACTCCCAAATTCCCTTTCATCTGCCCTAGAAATGTGTTTAAATTTAAGTTTCCCTACTGGAGAAATAAATGAATCTCTCTATGAACAGAGGAGAGTGAGTCCATCCCTTTTCATAATCAATGTACAGACTAGCAGCTTGTTGTTTCCCATTCCTGGTGTTCTGGTGCCGTCATGTAGCTATTTCATGTCACTCCTTTTTATTAAAAAATGGTGTTTTTTACAGAAAACACTATTTTCCTTTTAGAAATACAGATGCAGTTTATTTAATGTACAAAAGTAAAGCAAATTCCTGCTTCTGATGCCACAATTCTGGAGAGAGGCGGGAACACGTGCACGGAGTGGCACAACTTTCAGCATTACTGACAGAGCCCAGGGTGGTACATCACTCTCAGAGAGGGCAGTGCTTTCTTTTTTCTCCAAGGCAAAAAGGGGATTTCTCCATCTTTCCCACAAATAATCCCCAGCAAAATAGGTAGGAAACAGCTCTCTGCTATGTGGAATAAAAAAGTTTCCAGTTCCATCCCTTAGTGGGAGTTTGTATCTGCTTAAAAAAATTAAGGAATATCCCAATGGAAGTGTGGGGGAGCCCTCAAACCAACAGGCCTGAGAGTAAAAGTCTCATGTGCTACCAGCTGTGCTACCCAGGGACTACAGCACATATTACGATAGGAAAACATTGATCTGAAAAAACCCTTTTTAATGCTAAAGGGCTATGGTTCAAACTGGACAGAGGGAATCAGTTCTCAGTATTTTGCCACTTTTCCCCTTCTCAAATTAGCCCAGAACACTCTTGAGGTTTTATAAATTAATTTCTTTTTTCAAATTCTGTCACCCTCCAGGCCAGTCACAGACGCTTTACTGGGCCACCTGTGTAATTCATCTTCTTAGCCCCTGGCTGCTCCTTTTGCTCCCTGCGTGCCTGGGGAGAGTCATTATTATCAATGGTTCATTCCAGGAGACAGGAGTGAAATCAGTTCTCAGCCTGGGTGCTGTTCTGAGTCCTTCACCCTCATTCCTTAGGTTATGGTGCCACCAGGTGGTCATTTCATGTCCCTCCTGGATTTTACACAGAAATACAATTTTCCGTGCACAGATCAATGGACTGCATATCTCAGATGGCTGCCCTTGGAGCTGGCGCAGGGATGTTGGTGGGAGGTGACTGTTGTCTCCATGACAGGGACATCTTTGCCCTATCCAGCACCCTCATCCCCCAGGAACCAGCCAAGTCATACACCTTTTGACGGCCATGAGAGGGGGCAGGGTGGTAAAAACCCATCCAAACCCAGGTCCCTTTATAACATGCCCAGAAACGATGGCTTCTAAATCAGCCCTCAGCTCAGTTATCAGCATATGGGAAAGACTGGTCTGAAATTGGTAAGATCTTGTTATTTTTAAAACATATTTACTGCATGCTAAGGGGCATTAACACAGCAGGATGGACTTCTCCATGCTACTTCATGGAGGGAAATCTGAAAAAATATTGGCTCTACTGAGATTTGAATATTTCAATCTTTCTCTGTTTTTGGAGGGGTGAGGGGGAAGATTAAATGAATGTTAGTCTCTCCCAAAGAAGTAACGTTTCTGTGGAAATCACTAACATTTTAAAAGAAAAGAGTGAAACCAAATGGCCACACATTGCATCAGAACCTAAGAAATGAAAAACAACACACATCTTTAATACACCAAACTTGTTGATATGGAACTCAACTCAACAATGCGCATCATCACAGGAACTCTCCAACCAACTCATCTTCCATGGCTTCCAGTTCTGAGCCACGTCGCCCCCCCCCCCCCATACCTCAGGAGGGAGATTGCAGCTGGCAAGGTGCTTGGGAAAGTATGTGCCAACCCAAGCTTGCCCTTGTTCAACAATCTTTTTAACCCACCTGCCACACGTCTTTCATCACAACACCCACTGTGGTCGAGGCTGCCATGCCAGGAAGTGACAGAGTCCCTGTGGTGGGAAGAGCAGTGCTTAACACCAACCACCAATCAGTTCCTCATCACAAACCCTACTGCTCGCCTGCTCAGCTTCAACCTGCCATGTCATCACTGGGTCCTTCTAATCAATTCCAGACTGGACAAGGCTTATGTGCAGCCAACCAGCACTGTTGGGGTCTTCAAGACAATCCAAGCTGCAGCTGCGGCGCAGATCAAACAACGATACACGTTGTTGAGGAATGCCCACTAACCAAATTCAGCAGTGGGCTCCGAGAGCTCCACTTGGCCACTGAGAATGTTATTGCTTGGCTCGGCGAACACACAAATGCTAAATAAATAAATAACGATTGACTCTGAAAAGTGATTTAACTTGACTCCTTTATATTTAAAGACATATTTATTTCTATGCTAGGCAAACTATAAGGATAAAGCAATTTCAGTTATTGTGACACTAGGTTGAAGGATTATTGAATCTTATACCAATTATAAAAATGTATTCCTAACTTGAGCTTCCTGTTATTAAAGGCCAGGTTTCCAAGTTCAGGTCCAAATGTTAGCAGTTTATTCCTTCCAAAGATGGGGGATGTTGGTCATCTGAGAATGTCACTGTGGGAATACGACCCGGAAACATTATCTACAGTCACCTATCAGGATCACTCAGCTTGCAACCGGCCACTATAAAAGCATAAGCAGAGCAAGATGGACTAATGTATTGTCCATCCATTTAGGATAGTCGTGACACTTCCCATCTGTGAATATGATTTTTTATCTTAATGAGCTGGGGGGAAAATAAATATTAGACTACATTTAAAACAAGAGCAATTGAAAAAAATAAGGAAAATGTATCATCTCTGCTTTGTTTCAAACCAGGGACCTGTCAGATGTTAGACCAAGATGCTAATCACTACATTAGAGAAACCACCTGTGGGTTTATGTCCCTTGTGCTGCACAAAAATATCAATCATGAAGTCTCATTCTCCCATAGAACTGGAGAAAACAATGTTCTAAAATTTGAATGAAATCTGATTATACAAAATACTTCCTGTCTCCATTTTTATTTCATTCCAGATAAACTTTTGTTGCCAATTCTTTGATTTGATCTCCCCTTCTCATATTATGATCTTTCTTTTCCTTCAAAGGAGTTGTGTGGTTAAAGGGATTGGCTGCTAAACTAACCAGATCCCTTCTTGCGTCATTGGGACAGATTTGGCATGTGACCCTACACTATAGCAATGCCCCTTAAAAACCTGGACTGTAATTTGCTCTAGCTCTGAAACTGAAAGACAGGAAAAACAAACAAAAATTGTAGACTCCTCACATCTCCACAAAACCATCTGTGATTTCTCTTCTCTTTCTCTTTCTTTTCTAGTGGGTGCCACTTCGATCTAGCCTCAGGGCAGGGGATTGGTAGGCTGATGGGGGTGGGGAGTAGGACATGGGGCCTTTCCTTTCTAGGGGGCGACAGCTTCGTTCCAGCCCCAGGGTGGGAGATTGGCTGGCTCAGGATGGTGGGAGATGGGGTTGGTGGAGGGGACAGTAGTGGAGGGCACAGGGGTTCCCTCCTCTGTCATTATCTCATCGATATCCAAGTCTGTGTCCCCTGCTTTGCCGCAGGCCTGCTTG